CTCCCTTGTCCTCCTGTCTCGCGTCTCCAGCGGACACACCCCACTCCACTGGTGTCCAGCAGACACAGCACGCTCCTGTCCCGGGCCTGGGCTCTGCAGAGAGGGGGCAGGAGGGACAGGGCAGGGGCGCCAGCCTGGCGCTACTCATGGTACATCTTCAGGATGCAGCTCTTCATGACGCCCATGTACCGCTCCCAGATGGCCTGGTGCCTGCGGAGGAGTCAGGACAGCAGGGACACAAGTCAGATTCCTTGTGCATGAAAGAAGCTAAGCAGGCCAACGGCGCCATCTGGTGGCCAAACCCGGCAGCACATCTCGGCCCGATACAGGTTTCATTAAGATCCAACAGAACAAAACAACAGGCAAGCAGCTACAACTACAATTAAAAAAGACTTTTCATACGATTCAAACCTTAGGACAGGAAGAGGGGGGAGAGAGGAGAGCTCACCCTGTTCTACAGAACCTCACCTGAAGGCATCGAGGGCGCGTGCAGAGTTGGTGTACTGAGTCAGGAAGACTCGGACATCGTTCAAAATCCACCTGTCCGAGCGACACGGCTCGATGAACTAAGACAAAGAGCAAGAGTCTTGAGAGTATGGCACAGCACCTCACACCTCTGTATGGACCTGCCAGCCCCTGTACTAGACAGAGCAATACGGCCCAGTCAGCCCCTGTACCAGACAGAGCAATACGGCCCAGCCAGCATCTGTACGGCCCAGCCAGCCCCTGTACCAGACAGCAATACGGCCCAGCCAGCATCTGTACGGCCCAGTCAGCCCCTGTACCAGACAGCAATACGGCCCACCCAGCATCTGTACGGCCCAGTCAGCCCCTGTACCAGACAGAGCAATATGGCCCAGCCAGCCCCTGTACCAGACAGCAATACGGCCCAGCCAGCGCAAGCAGGACCTCTCCAGGCCGGTCAGCTTCACCTTCTCCACGAGGTCGATGAACAAATCCCGCGCGTCCTTCGTGTGCATCAGCTTGGCTGCGATGTTCACCAGGCTTCTCGACAGGTTCTGAGGGAGGGAGAGAGTTCGGAGGGTCAGGACCATCACAGGTGCCTGCCGGGGAGACGCCCACAGCGGCCTCCCGCGCTCACCTTGAAGTTCGCCTCCATCTCCGCGAACACCTGTACCTTCCCCCGCAGCGCCGTGCAGACCAGACTGGGGCGGACAAGCACACAGAATTAAACACAGACCCTCCCCCTCCTTCCCCCCGGACCCCCGTCCGAGACACAGACCACCCCACCTCTCTCCTGGACTGGACGCGCAGGGACCCAGCTGCCCTCTGAACAGTCACAGTGATGCTGTGTTCCACTGGGCCTGACCACAGTGTCCCAGACGCAGGACACAGAGAGCCGAGGGTCCCCGGGGATAATCGGGGGGGTAATTTGGGGCGCAGGGGCAATACCTCTTGTGCTGGTCCAGCATGTCTTTATCTGTGATGAGGATCTTGAGGTCCTTCAGATCCTGCAGGAATTCCTTGTCCAGATCAACATCCATGTCCTCCACCATGGAGTCTGAGAGAGAAAGAGCCAGCACTGGTCAGTCTCCGCGCCTCCCTGCCTCCAACATTCATCCCCGACTCTACAGCTCTCTCCACGCCTCCCAGCCTCTGAGCTCCTGCAACCTGCAGCTCTGAAGCCTGGAGAGGATCAGCAGTTCAGCTGGAGAGCACTGCAACCCAGGCTGGGGGGCTGGAGGACAGGAGTACCAGGATGGCTGGGGGACTGGGAGGCTGGGAGGACTGGGGGGACTGGGGGGACTGGGGGGACTGGGGGGACTGGGAGGCTGGATTACTGGGGGGACTGGGTGGCTGGAGTACTGATGGGACTGGGAGGCTGGAGGACTGGGGGGACTGGGAGGCTGGAGGACTGGGGGGACTGGGGGACCACTCTCTGCTCACCCACTGCTCCCACAGTCCAGTACTGGATAAGCTGACTGGCGCAGAAGGCAAAGTCCTCAAAGGTGAGATACTGCAGCTTCTTCTTGCCCGTCTCGAAGCGGCTGTTGGCGAAGAAGACGATGGCAGCGTAGTCCCTGCGGAGAGGCAGACGGACAGGGAGAGGCTGCCAAGGCGGCTCGGACCGGACCAGAACTCTAGAACTGGAACGGAACACGGGACTCACCGGGCCAGCCGGTCGGACAGCAGGAAGTGCTGCTGGATGTTCTCCACCAGGGGGCCCTTCATCTCCTCCACCACCTTGAACACCCGCTTGAAGTTGTCAAACTGTCAGGGGCAGAGAGGGGAGGGGCGTGTCACTGCAGCAGCGGTGTGACCACTCCACACTCACCCACACCCACTCTCCAAAGGCACACAC